TGAATCGGCATCCATCGATGACCTTTTGACTCGTCAGGAAATCCCAGTGGCCCATCATCATGTTCTAAAAAACACTATTCCCATTCCCGAAGGTTTTTACTTCGGCAGGACAACCGATCAGACGTACCAGAATGGTTAAGCATGAAAGTAACGCTGGCACCACCTTACCACAGCGCCATGCACTTCGACGAATTCCCAGCCACTATCAGACGGGACTCAACAGCATTATTTCAGATCTCGTTCAGGGTATCATCGTACCCTCCAGCTCTCTCTGGTCCGCCCCCGTCACTCTTGTCAATAAAAATGACGCCAAGCGTGGACTTTGCATAGATTACCAGTAGTTGAATAATGTCTTCATGCGCGAATATTTCTAGATCCCGCGTATCGAGGATACTATTGAGGCACTGTCCGGGGCTCCCTGCTTCGCAAGCCTTGACATCTCTTACTTATTGATAAATAGAGGTCTGGCCAGAAGATCGTCCCAAGACTGCTTTCAGTCTTTTCACTGGTTCTACACTGTCCATGTGTTTCGCGAACGCCACCGCCATTTGTTCTTCGAGATCTATCACCCCAGTCTTGTCCCGTATATCTACAGGACATTACTGTTCATGGCAAGTCCGTCAGTCATTATCTCGACAATGTGAGTCAAGTACTTCAGAACTTGCTTGGTCAACCCCAGAAAGCGTCATTTTCTCCAACGATAAATAACTTATCCTGGTCACGTTGTATCTGGGACTGGTATTGCTCCTTATCTCTAAAAGGTTCGCCAGATACGTGGCAAGGCAGTACTACAAGCGCAAACGGACGTGCGGCCCTTTTGGGGTTGATCTCCTTTTAATGCTATTTTATGTACGGTTTCGTGAATATTGCTTTTCCCCTCGAGTGATTAATGTAAAAGGAACGCTCTTATATGTGGACAGCGGAATGAACACAAGCCTTCTCGGCCCTCAAAGGGGCTCTGAAGTCTTCATTCATCCTCGCTTTTCGAAATGGCAATGCTTACAGTCCACCGTTTCATTTAGACATTGACGCTAACAGATTTCTCATTCGGACAGTCCTCAGCGAAATCTA